GCGTCTGGGGATGTCCTTCCTCGTCCCGCAGGGGTCCGAGGGGGCTTCTCAGTTGTCTTGCGGACGCTACGCGCAGCGCGGGGTCGTTGGTCGTAGGGGTTTGCTCGGTGGCGTGGATTAGTCCCCAGAGGGATGTGCTGGGTGCGGTCCGCGTTGATTTCTTGTGCGGTGAGTGTTCGGAGGTCGGTCGGTGAGTGTGTGACCTTGAGGACCTCGGACAGTGGGGATTCGTAGACTAGGTCTTTGTGCCAGATGGATTGGGCGACGACTTTGTGTCCCTTGATCTCGGTGACTCGGCAGGGCTCGGACCAGTTCGGGACGAGTTTAGAGGAGCCGAATCGTTCTTGGAGCGTGGCTAAGAGTTTGCCGCGTAGCAGCATGACGACGGTGTCGCCCACTTTGATTTCTTTGGTTGTTGGCGTTCGTCGTCGGCTGATGGTACGGAGCGTGTGGTCGAGTGCGTCTTGTCTGAAGGTGTCGAGTAGCCGGAGGCGGGGGACGACGTCTTGGATGAGGTTCTCGAATCTGTGCCACTGTTGGAAGTGTGGGAGTACTAGGTCAGCCCCGGTGACGATCCTGTATGGTGATTCTCCGGTGGTAGGGTGCGGGGTGGAACGGTATGCCATCATGGCGGAGGCGACGATCTCGGGGAAGCTCCAGGGGGTCGTCGACGCGAATGAGCTGATGGAGCGGTTGAGATATTGGTGGAAGGCTTCGACGACGCTGTTCCCTTGTGGGTAGTACGCCGAGCAGAACAGGCAATTGATGCCTAGCCCTTGGCATCGTTCCTGGAACTCGGTGGCTCGGAAGGCGTTGTCGCTTAGCAGATTTCGGGGTGACCCGAGTAGGCTGAGCCAGTTGCAGTAGAACGCTTCCCAGAGGTCTACGGCTCGGACGGTGTTGAGGGGGACCGCGATCGCGAACTTGCTGAGGTGATCGATGCATGTGAAGAGGTAGTATTGTCGCTTTTGGAACCATATTGGGCCGACGGTGTCGCAGGCGACAATCTCGAACAGTCCAGTTGAGAGTAGGTTGCCCCTGACGAAGTCGATAGCCGTGTGCCTCCTCCTGATGCAGGTTAGGCATTGTTTGGCGAAGTTGCGGACGTCATTGAACATATTATTCCACCAGAAGTACTTCGCTAGTCGGTTGTACGACCGCTGGATCCCTTGATGAGCCCCGACGCGGGAGAAGTGGAAGTAGAAGAGGATCCGACGGCGCAACGGCTCGGGGACATATACCCGATTGTTGACGATGGGTAACCCGTTCTGTAGGGTATGTTGAGGCGGGTGTTCTTGCTCGCCGTTGAAGGCGGTGACGAAGTCGTCGGGCGAGGGGAACGTTTCGTTGAGTGTCAGCATGTATGGCCGTACGTCCGTGTGAGAGGCG